CAGTTTATCGAGCGCTTAAAATGAAGGAATTCGCGCTGATTAAGCGCCGCCGCCACTACCACCACCACACTGTATATATGTATGTGTGCGCGTATAAAGTCACGTAGTTCGAAACCGATCGGAGGATGTGGACCCCGCGACTATGATCTACAACGTACAACCACACACGTTATCTATTTATACGGTCTATTTATACGTAACGTTAGACGCCGCGCGAACAGCCGCGAGAGAGTATCGTTCCTCCTGAACGCGCGAAGTGCTCTCGCGCGATGCTATTGACCAGAACGACGTCGTCGTCATCATCGACCATCATCGGCAAGCCGCGAAGTGAACCCGACGGCTCGCTACTGGAGCTTACAAAATCGTTTAGAAATCCAGCGGGATCGCCCCGATCGAATTCCTCAAGTCGCTCGGAACGATCTCCTGCTACGTCATCGGGACGTACGAAATTAGCGCGCGATTCTCTCTCTCTCTCTCTCTCTCTCTCTCTCTCTCCCTTCATCTTTCTCTTTCATCGGTCTCGGAACGTTTTCGCGGACGATCATGAAGTATCGCTCGAATCATTTGTCGTGAACGAAAGAGACGAGGAACTCGCACGGGAGGTTATCTGTAATTGCCGAAGATGCACCGGCGCAAGCCGTTAGTTTGGTGCCCGTTATCCGGCCTATCCGTTCGATTTTATCCGGTAAGTACGCTGGATGATGATTCGCCACGCGCGTTGCCGCGAGGACGACGACGCAGAATTACTCTCTCTCTCTCTCCCCTTTGCGAATACGAAAAGAATGCGAAGAGAATCAGCCTCTGTATGTGTGTATGTCGTGTATGTGTGTTGTACGCTGATACACGCTGTAAAATTAATTGGCGATTTCTAATTATACGGTACACATGGGAGACAGAGAGACCGGCCGCGTCCGCGCGAGAATGATTGCAGGGTCGATCGGGCGCGATAATTGCGCGTCGGCGTAGGCTTAAGCCGGGGATTAATGAACACCCCGGCTATTAAAATTAATATCAATTTCATCGGGGGGAGACGCCGCGATATCGCTTTCGTCGCCGACGTTAAAACGTTCCGAGTAGCATCCTGCTGTCCACGGAGGAAGGATGTGCGAAATGTAAGAACCCAGAAGCAGAGAGGACTCCAAGCCTCAGGTTATTCTTCCATTATTCGAAGTAACTTCCAATCGCAAAATTGCTAACGCAAATCTTGCGAATTTAAATTTTAAATTTAAGAGAGGGAAAGAGAGAGAGAGGTTCCAGCGTAAACTCGGCACATAAGGGCTCATAAATCCCGACCGCGCGATGCTACCGGTTTCCAATCAGGAGGAGGATTCTAACGGCGCCAAGGTGTCACGGCGAGTTTACGGGGAGAGATCTTAACGAGCGCTCTCGACATGCGCGTTTCGACATACCGTAACGTACCTAAGCGTCGCGGAGGAAGACGATCTCCGCACGAGCGGAGACAATCGGCCGTGAAAAGATTTAGCGCTCGCGAAATTGGCAGCTGAGTTGAATGCGCGCGCGAGGGCCGCTACCGCCTCCCCGGGGAGTAACGTCGTCAAGTTCCGCGCGACGACGACTCCGAGGTACAAATATGAGGCAGCAGTACACCGCGGTGTCTGCTGACCGGCCACGCGAACGACCGACTACTCGCGTATCAATAACAAACAGGACCACGAGCAGGCAAACAGCCGTGGTGTTTTTTTGCGCACGAACTGATTCGAACGAGGCGAGAGAATCGGTATTTATAATACAGAGCAACCAGGAGGCCGAGACCACCGGGCGATTTGATTCCTTAGCCGTTTACCTGAGAGACTGGCAGAGAGAGAGAGAAAGAGAGGGAGTCGCGACCGCTTCGATAATACTCCACGTGAAGGGAACATCGAGGGGAGCGAACGGCGGAGCGAACAGGGCGCGTGCAACGTCTGAATAGAGCCGAGAGATCGACGCTGAATCTGAAAGCTCGCCGAGCAGCTGTTTCCGCGAGCACAGTCGCGACCTATTTCAACGGCGGAGAAAAATTCCTATCGGCCGGAATGCGTTTGGTGGCGCGGCCGGGGAGGCGCGCGCGCGAGGGGGAGCTGACAGCACGACGACGAGATTTTACGAGAAATTCTCCTGTACAGTTAATCGACCGGCCGATGGGGGGAGCGCGGACCTAGCAGCCGACTGTTCCGATCGCGTTGCGTACAACGTCGCCGTCTACTATCACCGCACCACCACTACCACCACCTTCTTCTTCATCATTCACGTGTTAATGGTTTTAACCGGTACTGTTAATTGGCCGTTCCCCGGTCACATCTCGTTAATTATGCGCCGTGCCCGGTTGTGAACGAAGATCGTGAAATCGAATGAACCGGGGCCCGATTTCCGCGCGGTGAATAACACTCTCCACAGGGGATGCCCCGTCGATTTTCTTTTTTTCTTTTTGGAAGTTTGGGAAGAAATCCGGCCGAGAAATCCGGGAGAATCTTTCGGCCACGAGAGATCGTCGGGTCTGGCAAATGTTTATTTCCAAATTTCCCGGAGTGAAATCTCTCACTCGGAAAGTAGAGTGACCATCGAGTCACTCGGGTTTGAGCGACTTTTCGCTCATCGAGAACAAATTCTCTCCACTCTGAATCGTGGAGTGAATATTTTTACTCGAAATTGACGAGTAAATCTGACGTATAGGTGGAAAATGTTATAGTAAAAATTATTACTAAAGCTTGTCATGTTAGATTATATCGAAATTATTGTGTGTTGTAATCCTTAATGATCTGTACACATGATATACATCATTAAAGATTACAATACATATCATAATTTCAGTCATAATTCCGACATAATTCAATTACAAATAATTACAACGACCCAGTATTACGTATTTTTTTCCTCGAGTGACAGTATTTTTAATGAGGCAATGAATACTCATCCAAGGACTTTTTCAGCGGAATATCGTCGAGTCTTAAAAATTCAGTTATTATCTTTATCTCGACCACTTAATTTCATATTATATAAATTAATTTCACAATTAATTCCATATTATATAAATATACATTTTTCTATCTTTACGTATTGCTTATGTATCAGTTTGTATTTTATTATTAATTTATAATTTACACACACGTGTGTGTTATTAATATCCGAACGTCAATTGAATATTCTTTTATTCTTGTAGGTATTATGCCTGTTCTTTTATAACTAAAATATGCTTCCTCCTAAATAAATTTACCACTTGAAGTAAATAAATATCATCATTATTATTATTTTCACTATCGCTTGGCGTGAAAATACTGCCGCTTTTCATCGGGTTTGAGTGAGACTCCACAGAAAATTTATCGAATATTCTCACGCTTCCTTCCAACGTAAATTCCTAGATTCGTATTGCCGTCGTAGACCCGGGCGGGGAAAGCTCGCGCAAGCTCTTCGGCGGCACGTGAAACGTACCGCGCCGATACTTCCTGTGGTTCGACGAACCGAACGAATTTTCGACAGCGAAGACGGCGGCGGCGGTTCAATGCGGGTTTTCGGGCCGCGTTTCCGGAACGGGCCACGCGGATCTCTAAAATTAGAGGCGTTACGAAAAATGCCTGTCGGCGCGACGACGTCGAGCCGCGCTCTCAGGGACGCGCTTTATTGGCGTATACGCGTAACTATTATCAGCGTCGCTTATCTAATACCTGACGCGCGCCGCCTCGCGCTTACCGCGCGCCGACCGTGGTGTATTATCACGAAATGGAAGAAAAAAAGAAGAAGAAGAGATAACGAGAAAGAAAAGAACGTAACGGTGTAGGAGAGAGCGAGCACGGGAAACCGTGAAAATCGGCGCTCGCGGGCGTGACTCATCGCTCGATTATTTTTGTCATAAAGTCTGAAAATACAATCCGAAGGGCTGCGGCCGACATATACGAGAGAGTCAGGCCTGGGAGAGCCTTGAGCCCCTGCCAAAAATGAAGAAAACACACTCCGCAAACGCCGCGTTACTCGAGGATGCTCCACTTTGTTAGTTAGTATTTGATGACACCGCGCGAAACGATAGAAAATTTGTGTATAGAAGCCTATCGGGAACCGACGACGACGAGGAACCTCGCTCGTTGGTTTTCAAATCGAGTCGTCCTCCCCGCGACAGGAGCATGTTTACACGTCGACTTTTTTTCCTTTTTACTTGTCGAGAATATCAGCGATTACATAGTCGGACACTTGATACCTGATACTAATCATTGATGAATTGACTCGTATCAATTGCGTAATAGATACAGATTTTTGCCTGTAACCAATTCTTCTCGCATCGAGGAAGAACGAAGGGATATAATCGGAGAGTTTTATAATCGCAGATAACCAATTAACGGGCAAAATTCGATATAAGATATATATATATACATAAATGCGACGTCATTGTTAATGTTACTTTATGGACTAATGTTACTTCATGTTATTATTATGACGAGCTACGCGAACAGCTACGAGTATTTACATTTGGCTACTAAGTTGCTCCGATATCTGATAAGATTGCCGTTATCTATAGAAACCGATAAAAGCCGAGTGTATCATTTTCATATGCGATCACTACGCCAATATCTCTGTCTAACTTAACTATGCACGCTATTATATAGGTTTGTTTTACTATCAACTCGTTTTCTCGCCTAACAACGGGGAATTAATGTTTTCCAACATTCCCGCGGGTCAATTTAAATAAAATGTATCTTCGCGCAACCTGCCGCCGAAAGCCCGCGGCCATGTGACTTCTTCGTGACGTGACGCGTCAAAAATTGTTTTTTCCTGATGAAACTCGAGCAATATCCAGGGAGATGGAAAAGTTCACTGATAATTACACGATTACCGATTATTTTCCATTACTCATCTCCTGGCCTAACCTAGAGATGGAGCGACCAAGTGCGCCGGGCCCAAAAATGCCCGCGAGCCACGAGATGGCGCAAAAACGTAAAAAGGGCGAGAAAGAAGGGAGAAACGAAGGCAAGACGACGAATCAAATCTCGGACGGTGATAACACACTCGCTCACCTTTTTCTGCTGTTTTTCCCAGGCGGGGTCCAGGAGACCCTCCCTCTCCCATTCCTCCTCCGGTGCCATGTATCCGTCCCCGTAGGCTTCCATGTCGTTCATCCTCTCGCTCATGTGCGTGTCTTACGTTCCTTTAAACGCAAACGCCAAAACGTATGTCACACGACGTTACGCTCGCCCGTCGCAACGGGAAGGAATTCAGAGTGAGTGAAACAGAGGGAGAGAGGGCCGCGGACGCTTCTCGGAGCGGACGAGAGGAACGCTCGATCGAGATCGATACGTGTCTCCTCGGCGTACGTTCGTTCGGTGACAGCGACGCGTGTACTGAGAGAGTGCAGGGGAAGGGGGTATGGATAAAGGGGGAGATAGAAAGGGAGAAAGAATGAGTGTGTGAGAGAGAGAGAGAGAGAAGGCGCAAAGGACAAGCGACGAAATCAAGGGGACGATCACGGTGACTAAGGGCTGGAGATTAACTGAGGGGAATATTGAGAGCAAAAGAGAAGTATATGAAAGAGAGAGAGAGAGAGAGAGAGATCGGTAGAGGGAGAAATATATACATATACATACATATATATATAGAAAGAAAGAGAGAGAGAGAGAAGCGCCTGCGAGATCAACGTGGAAACGTACCCGCTAAGCCCAGAAAACGTTCGGTTCGTGTCGTTCTTTCTCTCGCGCTGACCCCTCTGCCACGAGTCTGACATATACGATTTGCTCGCCGGTGCACAACTCCCCCTCCTCCCGCAACCCGCCCGCACTTCATCCCTCCTTCCTCGATTCTTGTTACTCGCCCAGAAGAGGGGGACTAAGACCCCTCCCACCGCTTCCCTTTTAAATTCTCCCTATTGCTCTCTCTCTCTCTCTCTCTCTCTTTCTTTCTCTTATTCGCAAGAGACGTTCTAAATATTCTTTTCGCGACAGCGCGTATCAGATACGGTAAACGCTAATGGCGCGTGCGAGTGCTCCGCGGTGATAGCGCGTATTGCAAAATTGCCGTTGACAAGCAACGGTCGTGTCACGTCTACCGTATTGGCAAGACCCCGCTTTTCAACACGGCGTCGGTTACGTTATTTCGTAACGCAACACGGCGCGCTTTCGGGGTAGTCGCGGGGACGCGCGCGAGATAATCGCGTTTCGCGTCACGGATCGCTACGTACACAGCCGCTGTCGCGGCCGCCGCCGGGCTCATCGGCCGAAACTAACCTCCGTCTCTTTCCTCCTTCTCTCCCTCGCACGCGGGCACGCCGATCCGCAGCTCTCTCGGAGGACGCGCAGGGGCGACGAAAATAGCGTCGGAGACGAGCGCCGCGGCACCTCATTCACCCACACACGCGACTAAAATAGGACCGCCGGTCCGCGCGAAATTCCCGAATCGACCGGGGCGACGCCATTCCCGCGAGACCACCGCGGCACAATTGCTAACGTAGAGCGGAAATGCATCCGCCGCATCTGTCCCCTCCGGCTGCGCCGCTGTACTGCACTTTCGGTACTCGCGAGAAACAGGTGCATCACTCGCTCGCTCGACATACGACGAAGAGAGATTACGAATAGGACAGAAAGACGGCAATAGGGCACGGAAGGTGTACAGGAGGCATAGATTTACAACTGGCTTCGTTCTTTTCAATTGAACCGACTGCGTGCACTAGTTCAAGAAATTTACATACACATTGAAGCGTATGTACGAAATTCTCGCGCTTCAGTGCGCGTGCATTTCTTGAATTAGTGTAGCCAGTTCAGCTAAAAAGAACAGACCAATTGTCACTAGACTGACCGCCCGTTACAAAATAAATGTTTATATCGCATGTGGGAGGGAGAATGGAAAATATTGGGGACTGTGAGAGCTTGAATGTGAGGCAAATGTGAAAACACATGAAGATTTGATTAATCATCCGTATGTTTGAAATATATATATATATATATATATATATGCATATATATATATATATATTGGCATTACAATAATACATCATGAGTATAAAAGATTGTGAACATGATGAACTGATGCTGCAAAATAGATATGCAGTAAAAGCTAAAGATCGTCCTCCTTTCTTGGGGAAAAAAAAATAAAAACGCTGATACACAGTCGAGGCTACTTAATCGTACGAGTTATACTTGCGCCAATTCTTACACAAAATTAAATTATTCGAAATTTTCCACAATAGCTTTTAAATAAAAGAACCTCTCTCATCATGAGTACTTCACATAAATGTATCGCTAGAAGATATATATATATATATATAAACCATGATATATCTTTTATTTACACCCTACTCGCAACTCAAGACCAGCCTTGATTGACCAGTCTAATCTGACGCGTGGCTAGCGGTTTATTCATTCGACGAGAAAAGCAAAAAACAAATTGAATCGATTACCATCAACCGCTAACCAACAATCAGTGTAGCTGACTTGAAGGGGAAACTATCTATTAACATTGTACAAAGTAGCAATTGCAAGCCACTCATTCTTGACCTGATGATAGCATGATGATATAAAAAAGTGTTTATACGCCTAACCGGCTGAAGACGTCTGCCTTCTTCATATGCGTGACAGTCGCAACTTTGCTGAAAGTCACTTGTTTAGGTGTAGTCGCACCAAGTCGCGCCTTGGCAGGTATCGAGACGAGTCGCTCTGAAGCTGTAACGAATAGAATATCCAGGTATTATTCACACACTGTCTTCAATGAATACACAATTATATTGTACAAACATAAATGCGCACACATGTGCAACTTTTAAATTAGTGTACATACCTAACTTGCCAGGCGATATCGTAATTTTAGTGGTTCTTTTGTCGCTCGAAATAGAATCGGATGTTGGTTTCCCTTCTACCTTAAATATACATTTCGTATTGTTCAGGATGACCTTCTTGCCGACCTCATGATCAGCGTGCATTGTGCCTGTAGTTTTAGTTGCGATCCTTTTCGTCGTGATGATCGACGTGCGTGCATCGGCGCTTCGATTCTTCAGGATGCCAGGTAAACTAACGGTATTACTCGAGCCATTTTTCAATATTCTCACGGTATCTGTATACTCCTTCTTGTCGTCTATTTCACCAAGACGTTTGAACACACTAACTGATCTCTTGAGCACGTTATCCTTGTTGATACCGGTGACGTTGAAGACGAGCGATGTATCAGCTGAATTGGTCGTACTCGTGACAGAACTGTCGCCTAATCGGTCAAACACTGTGCGTTTCTGCTCTGCAGGCTTCTTAAGTATCTGTTGAGTTCTCACATTTGAAGTCTTTGAAACAGCGATCTTGTATTCGACATTGTCAACTTCACTATCATTTGTCGACATCTTTGCTTTTTTCTTCTCCGTAATGTTCCAATTCATTGCTTCGTCATTGCTTTCTTCTCCATTGCTTTCGTAAGCTTCATCGGGAACCAGTTTTCTCTTAATAGGCAGCTGCTTTTTTTGATTAATATACTCAGCATTGGTAACGTTCGACACAGAAATAGGTTTCTTTATGGTTATGTTTTTCTTCATCATTGAAGACAAAGGTTTAATTACCTTCTTCAAAGGTTCTGTTTTAACAGAGGCTGATGAAACTGTCTTTTTGCCTACCTCTTTTACTATTTTCTTCGTCATAGGTTGTGCAGAGGTCTTTGCCGAAGGTGTATCTTCCGAATCAACCAGAAATCTTTCACATGTCGTTTCTTCCACCACTTTCTTGGCGTACCTCAATATAGCGATCATATCACCCATTAACGTGATACCCATATCTTTGAGACTAGATTTATCCAAATCCGGTAGCATATCCGGCTTGATACGGTTGTTGGAGAATACGAGTGCATGTTTCGTGACCAGATCTGGCGGAAAGCCAGCAGCTTTGAAAAACTTCACCCAATATGCTATAAAATATAAAAATGTAAAATACAAATAAACTTAATGAAAAAAGTATTATTATTTGTCTATGTATTACTTGAGATACCTGAAATTGATATATTTGACGGCAACACAATTGTTATAACCTAAAACATATTCGTAAAGTTATGCGCTCACCTGACAAGGACGCAGCCATCTCTGTAATTAAAGTATGCGATAATGAATCTTGTGTGTACTTTTGTCTCGTATATGTCCTCGATAATTAATCAAAAAGACGAACTTCAAAAGTACGCTTTTACTTCTTTACTTCTCCTTGCATGCTGTCTGTGTCCCAAAATATTCGATAGATAGAATAGCATTTAGGGTGTATTCACTTTGGACGCTTACGCGCTTTAAGTTCAGGTCTGTTCAACAATACGCTGTATGCGAATGTCGAATGTTAGAATGCAGCCCGATGGTCCAATGAGAGAATTTATTTATCGAAAGTAAGTTCTTATTGGACCGTCGACCACGTTCTGATGTCCGACAGTGACATACGACGTATTGTAGAACAGGTTTTAAGCCCGTATCACTAAACTATGGGATGGGGATTGTGATTGAATTGAATTTAGTCAATCAGCGCAAAGTTAACTGAATTTAAATTTAGTGAAATTTAGTAAACTTTATATTGATTGTTCAAATTTCAATTTAATCTTAATCTCTAATTCGGTGTCTAATACGGGCTTTGTAAGCATCGCTTTCATCGTTTTCTTTGGCATCGGAAGCGCTCACAGAACGCATAATGACGTCATTGTGACGTCATAACTTGCGCTTACAAACGCTTCTCCCATCGAGGTAGAGCAGTGTGAAGGCTTACAGCGCGTGAGCGTCCAAACAGAACGCAACTCTTATTAACCATTTGTAATAAAAAAATTTTTATTTTTTCCTGATCTTTTTTCTAATCAATTAAATGCCACTCTATCTGTTGAATAGAGTTAGACCCAACTTCCTGTAGCTGCAACCAATGTTGCTAAATTTGCTTATTTTCCATCACTTCCAGCTTACTTGAATGTCAATTAGAATGCAAAATCATATTTTAGCTTTTTCTCGTTCTAACGTATTTTCTGGAAATTAAAACAAAAAATTTTCTTTTCTGAGCTAAGCTAATTTTCTCTTTATAAATTAAATTTTAATTAGACCTCATTAGTGATATTCATAGGATCCACTTAAACGTTGGCAACGATCGCGAGCCACATCCAGATGTCCATTCGCATTGGTCAATTCAACAAATTAACCAATATGATTGGACATTGTTGATTCGTCCTATGTTCGCTAACGTTAAGTAGAACGCATCCTTAATAGATATATATAAGTGTGTGTAAATTTTAGCAAATATCTTTTCTTTCGGTATTTCCCTGTAAAGTGTTATTAAGATGTTTAAATTATGGTTAAATTATGGTATGTTTAAATTATGTTTAAATTATGGGGTTGAATATAAAAATATATACATATATATCTATGTATACAAAATTTCGAGTTGGCAACACTGATTTCAACAGAAGTTCTCAAAGTTCTCGCAGTTCGGCTTGACTCGGGTATGAGATGCATATGTACGTACGCACTGAGTCACGTATGCCTTTATAACTAGAGTTACTTACGCGATTTTCGACCTTATGTTTACGTGTGTAAGGTTAGAAATCGTGAAAATCGTGTAATTTCTGATCTAGGGATTGATAAAGCATACGTGACGCAGAGTGTACTATTTCGAAATAATATATATCACAGTTGATGATATGTGAACAACACACGTGACATAGAAAGGAGTAAACTTTCTGAGCGTTTGGCAGCATATGAAGTAAAGGAGATTTGCAACCAGCAGCCTGATATCATTCAGGTTTTAGTCCTGAGTAGATTTCCGGCCGCTTGATATCGCGGTTTCTCGCGTTCACGGATAAGCGTAACTTCCATCTTCTTACAGATTATTCAAGCGTGAAGCGATACCCCGGCTGACGGTGTGGGAGTCACCGGAATCGAGCTCGAAAGGTATCAGAATGCGGTAGTCGATCGAGCCGCTCGCGACGGCATTTTGTATTTCGCTCCGCAGTCCGTGCGTTCGCACGCGGTGGACCCCGTGGCGCGTTGTTATGATCTAACATGGCGGAATGTAGTGTTGTGGCTGCCTCAGTGTCTATGTCAGTTTCAGAGTGATAATAGCTCAGAGACAAGCGAACGTACGGCGATGCGAGCCGGCGACCGGCCAGCACGATTATTCGCTTGAGATCGTCGTGTTCCCACGTGCCAGCAACGCGGCAGCCAGCGTCTTCGCCTCGCCACGGGTTTTCCGTTCGCCGCGGCGACAGCATCGTACACAGAGGTGGTGAGAAAGTGCACACACACGGAGGAACGGCCGAGGTTTGCCGACAATCGGGAGGTATCGCTCGCCGCGGAGTGATCGCGTCATCGTCCCCGCCGCGCTCGCATGCACCGCAAGTAGTGGCTGATACCGTGCGACCGATCGTCGCGGCTACTCGCTACACGTGAGAGCGCGGGACTACGTGCACGTACGTGGGATTCTTACGTTTGCTACGTTATTTTCCCGCGCGCTCGTCGCCGTCGAGGGAGAGCTTCCCGGCGGTTTCACGGTGCAGGTTGGACCGATTATCTCGTCCAACGTTCAGCCTGTGTACTTTGATCACCTTGGTAAATAGTCGCAGCATCGTGGGAGATCCTGGAGACACGACCCTCGACATCCGTATGACGCTCTCGTTCCATTGTTCATCAGGCTGCTATTCGTATAACTTGCAACGCAAAAAACTACCGCTTCTTCACGGGACACGATCGCGCATATCTCTCTTGTCCCATCCGACATCGTTGTACACTGAATGGTGTCGTGAGCTAAGTGTATATTGTTCATGTAAACGTATATATTGTTTGCTACTCGAGACTCCGGCTGGAACCGTTAGTCGTCTCTTTTGACGCTCCTTCCTTGATTGAGTAGTCGAAGGAAAGGTACATAGATTCAGAGGGAGAGAAAGAAAGACACGTGTGTGTGTGTGTGTGTGTGTGTATGTGTGTACACTGCGTACCTACGAACCATTCTTTAGCGAAGACTTTGGCGTATATCAGCGTTTTGTTTATACTATAGTAGTGAATAATGCAATAACAGGAAACCTTGATGGGTTGTACTAGAGCGTACAGAGGTTTAACATATCTGGGTTTCTGTGCGTTTGTTAATACGACAGGCATCTGAATATTTTTATTGTAAAGATAAGCACTGAGTGGGCCAAAGATTGAGCAAATCTAGAAAAGGCATGCAGCATAGCTGGTGATAATATCTGGGAAGGAGTGTACTAATTAGTTTTACAATATGACGGACACGCGAAGAAGAGTAAAATTATATGCGCTTAATGCAGATAGACAATGGGATGATCGTGGAACTGGTCATGTATCATCTTCCTATGTAGATAGATTAAAGGGGATTTCTCTGTTGGTAAGGGCAGAAAGCGATGGCTCTGTCTTATTGGAGAGTAGAATACAGCCTGATACAGCATATCAGAAACAACAGGTAATAACCGTTTATAAAATTTTATATGTTATAAATTTTTTTATGTTATACTTCTGTTGTGTAAGTATCTGTTAAACAGATAAAATAGTTTTTCGCACTGTCAATTATTTCTTTATTATAAAATATATTTTTTCTGATATCAATGCAGATCAAGTTGTTTTTCGTTGTTGGAAGTATCAATGTGTTGAATATATGGTTTATGTAACATAATATAAAAAAATGTATGATTAGTATATATATCTGCATCTACACATGTATGTATACGGACGTATATATACAGATGTGTATGAATGTAGTATATGTTATATTTGTGTATATATGTATACAAATAAAGATGTGTGATTTCAGGATACTTTAATAGTATGGTCAGAAGGAGACAATTTTGACCTAGCCTTAAGTTTTCAAGAGAAGGCTGGCTGTGACGAGATATGGGAGAAGATTTGCCAAGTACAAGGCAAGGATCCATCAGTAGAAATTACCCAAGATATTGTAGAAGAATCTGAGGATGAACGGTTCGATGATATGTCCGACGCGGCACCACCAATTGAATTACCTCCGTGCGAACTTAGCCGATTGGAAGATATTAATGAGCTCATAGAGAATTGTTTAACCTCACCGATGAGAAAAGAAAAATTAGCTGTCGCGCTGGAATCCGAGGGTTACATTAAGAAATTGCTAAATCTCTTTCACACGTGCGAAGATTTGGAGAATATTGAGGGATTGCATCATCTTTACGATATATTCAAAAATATTTTCTTACTCAATAAGAATGCGTTGTTCGAAGTTATGTTCAGCGACGACACGATTTTCGACGTTGTTGGATGTTTAGAGTACGAGCCGACGTTATCTCAGCCAAAGAGGCATAGAGAATACCTTCGACAATTAGCCAGATTTAAGCAAGCAATTCCCATCACAAACGCCGAACTGTTAGCTAAAATCCATCAAACATACAGAGTTCAGTACATTCAAGACGTAGTGCTGCCAACCCCGAGTGTATTCGAAGATAATATGCTGAGTACATTGAGTAGTTTTATATTTTTCAATAAAGTTGAAATAGTGACTTTAATACAAGACGATGAAAAGTTTCTTACTGAACTTTTTCGTCAGTTAACAGACGAAGCGACATTAGATAGCAAGAGGCGCGACTTGGTTCTCTTTTTGAAGGAGTTTTGTAACTTTTCTCAGAATCTTCAGCCGCAAGGGAAAGAGGCGTTTTATAAGACATTAACAGCACTTGGTATACTTCCCGCTCTAGAAATTACCTTGGCAATAAACGACGCGCAGACGAAAACGGCCAGTATAGACATATTGACTTACATCGTGGAGTACTCTCCGAGCGTTGTACGAGATTACACGTTACAACAGTTAAATAGCGCAGATCAGGACCAAATGTTAGTCAACGTAATAGTTGCTCAACTTGTCGGAGACAGCGATCCCGAGTTAGGTGGAGCGGTTCAGTTGGCCGGCGTGTTGCGTTTACTTCTGGATCCGGAGAACATGTTGGCTTCTGTTAACAAAACAGAAAAGACTGATTTCCTAAATTACTTTTACAAGAATAGTATTGTTACTCTGATAGCGCCTCTCCTGGCAAATACAATCGGGGAACAGCCCGCGAGAGAGGATTACAGAACGGTACAACTTTTGGGACTGATTCTGGAACTGTTGTCGTTCTGCGTGGAGCATCACACGTATCACATCAAGAATTGCATATTAAACAAAGACCTACTCAGAAGAATACTGGTTTTGATGAAATCAACACACACATTTTTAGTGCTGTGCGCATTAAGGTTTATGAGGAAGATCATAGCTTTGAAGGATGAATTTTATAATAGATACATAATTAAGGGTAATCTCTTTGCACCTGTATTTGATGCATTTGTAAGGAACAATGGCAGATACAATCTCCTAGACTCAGCTATATTAGAGATGTTCGAGTTTATTAAGTTGGTAAGTGATAGCTTACAATCCGATTTGTTAAAGATACAAATTTGGAGTTTTCTTATTGTTGTATCGCTCAATATTGCTTTGCCGTGTTTCAGGAGGACATAAAGTCGCTCTGTTCACATGTTGTCGAGAACTTTTCGAGGGAACTCGAGGCGATTGATTACGTACAAACATTTAAGGCATTGAAATTAAGATACGAACAACATCAAGACAAGCTGAAAGATCGTGATAGAGCTGCTATTGACAGGTATAATCAGTACCTCTCGGTTACTTCGACCAGTTCTTTTGTACATCTAACTGATTCTATATTTTCAACTTACTTATTATGTTTATCAGTTTTTTTTACGAGCCTTCTTTCCGGTTGTATCGTCAGCATATTTTACACGAAAGATGTAATACGCATGTCAAAAGACGAGCACGATAATGATTCCTAAGTATCGTAGATTCGTAGAATCGTTGAAGTAAAATTCGTTTATATGCACAGCGTACCGTCAATTTTGCGGAACAGTCGATATCGCAGAGATCAACGGCAGATAGACGAAGAAGAAGAGCTGTGGTTTAACGACGAGGAGGAATACGACGATGGTGAAGCGGTGGTACCTGCAGCGGCGGCAACAGCCGATCTCGTGTCGCCAGCCTCCACCAAGAAGCAATCCTCCTCTTCAAATTCGACGCTCAGTCCTGCGCTTGCAGACTCGAAGAGTCACCAACAACAGCAGCAGCAGCAACAGTCCGTGTTAAATAACAATACTTCCAACAACAACATTACCTCGCAGCAACCACAAATCAACAGTAGCTCGTCGACAACGAACGAATCACCTATCGCTTCGGATATAACTCCTAATTCGGCGATTGGCAGCGTGGAGAAAACGGGAACAGCATTGTTCAAAAAGGTAAGAGAGGAAGTCACACATACACTCGGGGTGTATCATCGTGGTGACTTATAATTTTTATAGTATATCACATGGCAACACAGATGGTGCTCAAACTACAACTAACGTGAGCGTTGAGTCTGCCCTCGCGAATCACGATTACATAATTCGCATTCGGCAATAACCTTAATACTGATCTATCATGAGATTCGACGTATTAAGGTGTAGCAATTTAATTTCCAGGGATTGGTCGATTATGAAGGAGATTCGGACGAGGAAGACGAGGATTCAGAATTAAGTCCCTCCCCAAAGCGACAACGATTGTCATAGTAGGCGAACATTGGGAAGAACAAGGCCGTTGTGATTCTTAATTCCTATTATAATTTCTAACCTTCCTGTGTGTAAAAAAATACAAGCAGATCTACCCTCATAAATATTGGAAGTGACACGGATGGAGCTTTCTCTCTAAGGAATGGACACACAACAAGTGCTTTTAAGAATAAAATTAAAAAGAAGTGGCACAGGCAAGAACTGGAAAAAGAAGTGGGCACTCATTCTGTTTGTGTTGATTTGTGTATAGTAAACAAAATATAAGTAGGGTTGGAATGAAAATTGTAAAATGATTTGTTCGCGAATTCGGTTTGTGCGAGCTGGTTGAAAGCTACTGTTGTACATAAAATGAAAGGATGCACATCACGCACAGACGGGATTGAATTAACGAGATTGTACGAGTTACGAAATGTGAAGTAATAATAATGAAAACACGTGTATCCGTTGGTTCAAATGCCTCTGCTGTGCTTTTGGCATTTAAGTAAATTTTTCTATGACGGTATTCCATTCACACCGTACGACTGAATTCGCTGTCTGTATATCGAGGTGTATTGGAAAACGAGAATGAGAGAAGAATGAACGTTTTTCAACCGATGTCTCGAAGAGTGGTTTAATGTGGTGATATTGCAATGTGCAACGCAATATGATGTGACCGAGTGCTATGTAATGCATAAGAGAGTAAAAGATATTAAGCGAATCCACAGTCCATTCCACTTGTCTGGAAAACGCGCGCGCGTCACATTAGGGTAAACCAATATCACGGATAACCGAGGCGTTCGAGGCAAGAGCGGAGAACGCGAGTGAGGGTAAATAATTTGTATCATCTTTCCGTTTTTTTCTTCTTGAACATACGATGTTATATCTATTCCGTGTATCTTCACCGGGGGGGGAACAATTGTACAGTTGTACTCGACAATTTTCACGCTCAGTTTCCTCGCTCTTTCTACCTCCAACGCCCACGTATGCATCCGTTTCATTTCAGGAACAGAGTTAATCACGGACTTACTTCGCTCTACGTGTGGACTTTGAAAAGGTCTATGCCAAACCTAGTTAAACCTAGCGACCCTTGCAGATACGAAGAGAGAGATCTAAGCTTAGAGATATACACTATGATAAACTGCACAGGTCGCAGTTGTCTATGTGTGTGTGTGTTAGACTCCAAGGAACTTAGAATATACGCAACGTAAGGTCAAATTTCGTGTGAGGGAGTACTTGAAGTACCGCACAAAAAAAAGAAGTAAAAAGGCAAGAGAAGGACAACTGAGCGTTTTAATTTTGCCATTCGTCAGTTTTTTTTTTTTATCGCTTACTGCGCGATAGAGGGAACCTGTTTTCTCCTGAGAAGGTTCATGAAACCTTATGCAGGTCATTAGAGGTAGTATTTAGTTTGTATATATATGTATATTTGTAACGATTGTAAGACACACGCATACATATACATTCTTGGATTAAGCAGAAATACGCAGTCTCTTTGTTAAGAATTCGGTCCTTTTTGAAATACTTTCAACAGGCTTTTTGGTTGTCAATGTAATTAGTAGTAATTGTACAATAAATACTTGATTTATGTATATTCACCAGTCTGCACACTTCATGCCCAATGTTAATCCTTGATGTGTATAAAGTATAACCTGGAATGAATGTATTATGCAATTGTCGAACACATTAGGCTTAAAGACACCGTTGTCCGTATGAATTATTCACATCTACGTGGGCAAAATGGAGCCAGAGGTTGTAGGAAAGCGCTTTGTAAAGAAAAAAAAGAAAAAAAATAACACCGAGTAGAACTGCACACGCGATCTAGCTTTGTTAAGAAACGTGTTTATTACAGTGGATATATATATATATATATA